TACATCTAAAGCTGCGCACGCGCTGTTTAAATATAGAAGGTGCAACGTAGGATTGTAGGAAATTAAATATAATGCATTGAATATGCTATATTGTATGTTAATAATGCAAAGTCGTGTGCTAGGATATGTTCATTATACATAGGTTTGTATAGTAAATCTGTGTATTGGAGTTGTTTTTCCAGTAAATACAGTATAACAAAGAAATGTGTTTGTCACTTGAAACATTTCTGCTTAGATCATAAACATGTTTACATTTTGTACTCTACAGTTTTGTACATACAGTTAACTAAGATTAAGGCAGCAGCTACACGCAAGTGTTTGGCGACAGATCAATTTTTCGATCCTTTATTATAGATCATAAAATAAACATCGTTCACTGAGAACGTAATAGTAACTGGGTACTTTCTGTATTTTGTTACGAAAGTATTTTCTGTAAGTACACAGATGAAGTATTATTCGTTCTTTGCATAGTTCACGTGATTTTTACGTTGACAAAACCTTCATAAATGTTATTCATAAAATATTTAAGGCATTAATAATGTGATATTTCAGTGTCATGTTTGGCTCACATTGTCATTTCATCATCCTATAAACTATAGTCTTTTGTTTTGTAGCAATTGCTTCAGGGTTGTTAAGTAGCCTGAAATGAAACGAGTTAAACATAATATTTGGATTTTAGAACTTATATTGGTTGTAAGCGCATCATTCTTTGTTATGAAATGTCACTTTTTTATGTTCTGAAGTAGGAGGAACTTCTGAGGTTGCAGATGTTCTGGGTTTTAATGTTTCGTGAACTCGTACGTAGATATCGACGTCTCGGAAAAGTATACCGACTCTGTCTTCAGGACTGAAGATGGAGACATTACGTCTCGTCAGAAGAATGATGTCTACCCACACGAGTCCACACGGCGTCCAACCTAGAAGAAACATTGTTTCCACCGCCGTGAGAACCTCAAATGCCACATGACTTAATTGTTGTCTTCAGAATTTTTATATTTTTGGACGTATGTATTATTGAGAAATCAATAAGGTATTGAATAAATTCTGTAACCATTGTTAATCTCTAGTTTCGCTAGACGTTTAGACAAATGGATGTACTGAAAAAGAATTATGAGGAGTCGTCAACAATTGACCTTATCTAGTTAGAGAAATGATCTAGCAGATAGTTACTCACGAGGCAATAATATTTTTTCCTGAATGACCTGCTGGGTTGACCTTTGTAAAGCGCCCTTTCCCTAGTAACCAACAAATGTCTTAATAATGCTTGAATAAAACCAACCTTCATAAATCCAAACAAAATGTCTTTGCTAGAAATGAAATATATGTTAGTAATAAAATTACGTTTTGGCAACCCTTTATGTTAACCTCACTTTGTTCAATTCGTGTAATTGTGGAGTCCAGCTGTGTCTTGGTGCTCCCCCCTTCTTTGCTAGTAGGCACGAAACAATCACTTGATTGAGGAAGGTAAGTGTGTATATACTACTGAATGTGACTGTACGCAATCCATTTCTTTGCTGTCATAATATACACCTGATCAGTCATCCAGTTGTCACACAAATGATGTTAACAATAACATGGCTCCACATATACTTCTGATGTCTATTGTTGCAATATAAACACATTAATTCAACAGTACTCAACAGAGATCATTAACTATTAGGTTTACCTTATCAATTGAAGGTGTCGAATTACATTGGGTGTGTTGAAGAGGTCTGATGAACTCTTTATGAAGTGTGCGCAGACAGAGATACCACCATGAAAAATATACCGCGCCTTAAGCGTAGGAGAAGATAAAAAGTCATCCTTTCTCTCATGTTTAGAAACAGTAACAGTAATTATTAATTGGGCAGAGATTGAGGTCTGTAGGGTTGTTACGCCCTGTAGACTTTTGGCTGGATACCAACGACACGGTGGAAACTTATTGTCTCCATCTTCAGCCTTGAAAAGTCCTGAATTTTCCGGTCTTAGTGTATGGATCAGAAACGTGCATTACGAGAAAGGAAGTAGAAATGAGATCACTCCTGTTAGTGAAAGGATAAACCAAACAAGACTGAATATGAAACTAAGAAATATCAAGAGCTGCACATTGTCAGCTCAAGAGAATGTTGATACCTATGAATGGAAGTGGATACAACATTTACATATATTGTGACCGGAATGGTTATTAAAATAGATATTAATTTACAGACTAGGAGGAAGAAGAGATGTCAGCAGTCCAAGGCAAAGTTGCAGCTGAAATTCAAATATGTAGACGCACGTAGTCTGTGGACTTAGATGACGATAATGGCGAATACTTACGAATCACGCTACCTATAAGTGTTATTAATAAACGTCGCTCACATGTAATGTAATGGATGTATTAACGGTCTACTAATATGTTCATTTGTACTTTAATTAAATGTAATAGAATTATATTGAAGGATGAAGTTTCAGGTTACCTTTTTAATATCCCCACATTATTAACTGTATTATAGACAACACAGCAAAACAATACTGTATAACGATCATAGTGTCACTAGTTTCAGTCTTGCTTGAACGGTGGTCATGTGCCTGTCTTGTGAGCACAGTGGAGTTGTGTCGGTCTAATGGACCTGTGTCAACAGTTCTCTGAAGTTGACTGTGGCGTTAGAAATACACGTATCTGAAGGTCAAATAAGATATGCACCGAAGATGGGAATATTAGGTGGAAATGGTCACTAAACAGAGTATTTTATCGGGTTGCAAGTCGTAGAATGGAGCGTTTGTGGTCGCATTTTTGAACGAACCAGTATATGTACTGTTTCCCTGCAAGTCGTAGAATGGAGCGTTTGTGGACGTATTTTTGAACGAACTACTATATGTACTGTTTCCTAGTGCAGAGTTCACCGCCATGCTCATACAGACCTATCATATACATCCAATGTAAATGCGTTGTCATTAGCTCAGACTTTGTTGATAGGATGTTTAATGAGTTATGAAAGGATAAGAAGGAAAAATGGTTGTGGAATAATCTAAGGAATTTTACTAGAGGGCTGAGGAAAAAACACCAAAAGTCTTAGCCAGAATGGTCTGCCTCTGGGCCGAGGTTTAAACCGGAAACCTACCGTAACAGGAGAAAGATTGCCGACTACCTGTCTGTAATGTTCTGTTGTGTTGTCCCGACTAAGGCTGGCATATTTAATGTACAAACCTTTCTGTATTTATATATATATAAATATATATATATATATATACATAATTTTAGAATGTTATGTTACATTAAAATAATTTTTAATTGTTTGGTTAATATTGAATCTGTGTTATTTAAAACATATGATACGATACGATACGATAATTTGTGTAATTATAGCCCACTGTTTCTCTAAGGAAATGTAACTTTTTTGTTATAATTCGCTGGTCTACTGAATAATAAGTATGCATTATTTTTTTTTCAGTTCAATTAGCAGGCAGTTGCCAGTACCAGTCTCATTTTTGATCACTTGCGTCTTTTCGTCGGACGAAGTAAAATATGAACAGAAGGATCAATTGCTATATGGCCATAACAGTTCTTCGAAAACACGTGTGTTCTCAATTGTAAGCTGTATGTGATAAAAGGAGTGGAATGGGAAATGTGTTGTAAAATGTGTGAAAGTCTCTATGTTTACCGCAATAAATTTCTGTTTGGAACTACGTTATGCTTGTAGTATACCAAAGACTTCGTTAAATAGGTATAAGTTTTGCAGTTAAAATATATTAACTTCCTTTGAGTACATTATAAAAGCAATTTATATATAAATATATATAACTAAATCTGTTAATGACTTTTCAGAATTTTATATACCATAGTTGTTATATATCAGTCTTGAGGTAGGTAGATTATGGTACTCTTAGTTCAAATTTTGATATCGGACTTGAAAAGTATTTGGTAGTGATAACAAAAATATATTATGCTACTCGTGAAAATTGATTTCTTTATTGTGAAGTTCTGCAATTAATTGATTGTAAGAATGTACACTGAGAAGCGCACAGGACGTTTCGGGAGTCGGCTCGACATCCATCTTCAGGCAAATGCTTGCGATAAAACTGATACATTTTTATAGACACTTGTACTTTTTACATTTATGTCAACGCTTGAGTTCAAATCTGGGACTTTTGAATTTTACACTAGTAAGCTGACAATTGTGGCTACCTCCCGATACGTCGAGTGAACAATATAGCTCAGACAATGGGAAATGTCAATCATATTATATTTTTTCTAATAAATCAACCATTGTCATAAACCTTTCAGAGCAGCGTGTCCTAAAGTGTGTGCCGCTGTCCCAGGAGGCTTTAAGCTTTTGTCGGAGAAGAATGACCTAGTTATAATACGCAGTATAATCTCGTTATCCGGGTTGGTTGATAAATATAATCGAAAACCCATAATATTTAGCAAAAATGAAAGGAAAACACGCAAATGAAGTAAATACATAAGCATATTTGCAAATACAGACTACTTAAATTTTTTAAGATATATTAATAGGAAAAAGGATTTTATATAAAATGTAATATAGTAAAACCAAATTTCAAGCGGACAGTAATAATGTTCTATTGTTGTAAACTCCAGGTTTTAGTAACAATTTAGTTATAATAAATAATTCTATTTTTGTACGTATTAATTCCCTTCTTTTTAAACGTTCTAACATTTACAACAAATTTTGTAAATTAATTTTGATTTTTGTTTTAACCAGATAGACCCCACTCACTCCACCCTCTGCTAATTGGTAAACTATTATATATGAATTTCTAAGAAAAAATTAATTACAAACAAAATTTAACAGAAAAGTAATTTGCATTGTTCATTAATAGGCATATTTTTTAATTTACTAAATCACATTTCGAATCGAATTTTTAATTTAACGTAGCTTCGGACTAAAAGAGTTTGGGAACTTCTCGGAACTTCTTTGTTGTCAGTTCGGAAAATAAACAGTAACTATAAAAATAAGGTACCTCTTACAAGAAGTAGGAAGTGTTACAAGTTTGTGCTGTGTCCAGTAAAGAAGATGAGGGTGAAAAAGGTAGCATTCAATTGTACTTTTTGATGGAAACAAATGAGGGGAACAAGTCTAGTTGGCGCCGTGCATTTTTCTTTGTTGCTCTGTAGCAACTAAAATAAAAGTTACAAATATAGTGGTACGAAGGCGGTTACGGTCTTCCAATAGGCCTAGCTCAGTATCGCTGCATTGGTATCACTGACTGACACCGGTAGGACTGGTTTGAATTGAAGTGAAGGAGTTTAGTAAATAAAGGTAAAGTCATGTGTGGGTTTGCTCTGTGGGGAAGGTTGCACAGGATGGCACGGCAGACTGAGGTAGGACGCTCTAATTTCTTACATTGACCTATTGCATGTTTCTGTATTTTGTGATAATTTCTGTTCAGTTTTTAATGTTGTCGAGACAGTTAATACAAAGTGGCATTAGTAACGACAAGAAAAGTACTGACATTATTTTGTTCACCGAAATGAATAATGTATCTTCTGCATAGTGAGTATGGACTAGTCTTAAATACGTAACTCAGGGTGGGATAAGTTGGGTCGAACGAAAATTATTCTAATACGTGTTTTAACAAAAATACATTTGTGATGTAATGACAAAATGGTTTAGGTAACTTATTATTGGTCCATGAAGTAAGAACTAAATAAGATTTTAATTCCTTCATGCATACTGAAGTGTCGGGTTCGATTCCCGGCGGTGCCCGAATTTATAACTTGTGTTGGGCAAGGCCGTGGTCTAGGCAACACGGAGTTTTCCTCCGGGGGCTTCCCCTGTTTCTCCGTGGCATCCCAACAATTACGCCATTCACACACAGAAGAAGGCAATGGCAAACCACTTCTGGATCATCTGCCAAGAACGTATATGAACAGGTCCCAGTCCGAGAAAAGGATGGAAGGATCTTGTTCATATGGACCTGTCGTCAGACAGAACACTAAATAAATATACTTTAAATGAATTAATAGTAACTATTAAAGGTTAGAGAAAATTGGAGAACGAGGATTTCTATAATTTGACTATTTACCAGGTAGGTAATATTAGAATAATTAAACCAAGGAGAATCCCACGGGCGGGACATGTAGCAAACATTGGGGGATAAAAATGCTTAAAGAATATTGGTTGAAAAGCTTGAAAGACCAGAAAAACGATGAGTAAATAAAAGGATAATATTAAAATGGATCTTAGATAAATAGCATTGGAGGTTATGGATTTGATCAATCGAACCTATAGCGGTTGTGGACATTATGATGAATGTTCGGACGTGTTACTTCATGACTAGCTGAGTTCTGATGAAGGACTCTCCTTCATGGAGTTAGTTAGTTAATGGGAACTGTAAATTTAATGGCGCAATATGTAATTGGCATACACACACATGAGTTTTAGTGATGAAGAATGTGGTATGTTCTATCATACAATAAAATAACAAGTGTAAATTTAATGGCGCAATATGTAATTTTGTGATTGGCATACACACACAAGAGTTTTAGTGATGAAGAATATGGTATGTTCTATCATACAATCAAATAACAAGTAGTTTAATAATTAGTGTTGATTTGTTGAGAGATCAAGTTTTGTGAAACGTCCTGCTAAACTGAAATCGTTATGTACAAAAATGTCTTGTTATTATACGGATGCGATTTCACCTGTGTACCTTTAAACACAGCTGTTGTCTATAAGATCCATTTCATATAGAAATAGGAAATAAATCGATCCACAGATGCCATGCCCCATCATTAGCTACCAGTTACCAGAGACCTGAAAGCAACATTTGACAGTTGCTATTGTGTGCTGGGGACAAGATTTGGATCTTGGAGTGAGGAAGTTACAGGGACCTGAAGATACGATAAGCTTAATAAATTTTACTATTTACCAGGTAAATTATTATTATTATTGTGATTAAATCAAGGTAGATAAGATGGGTAAGACATTTATGCACAATTCTTGTCGAAAATATTTAAGTAAGAGGTTGCTTAGAAGACATAAGCTTAGATGACATGGTAATACTAAGAATCGTGGATTATAAATATATGAAGTAGATTAACATGCCTTCGGATGCAGGTTATAGGCGGGATGTTGCATGCACGTTAACGAACTTTCGGGTTTCATAAAGGACGGTGAACGTTGTAGCCAGCTGAGCTACTGTAAGCTTCTCAATAATGATTACGTGGCATGTTTGTTGATCCTAAAAACTTTCGTAATGAAATTATATACAGTGAATTCCGGTTAATTGGGACGCATCGGGACTAGAACACTAGCCCAATTAATCGTCTGCCCCAATTATGTGAAGTTCCACGTAAAGAGTTAAAAATGTTTGTTCTTTAAGATTTGTACCAAGTAAACGTCTGCCCCGGTTAACCGATGGCCCCAATTAACCGGAATCTACTGCATGTGTATATACTTAATACTTACCGGTTTAAAACGTCTGTCGACGTCCTCTGATTCCGCGTTACGTAATGAAAGCCTACATGGAGCGGGGCACACGTAATAATGTAAATGTTGCTGTCGCAGCAAAACAAAGTTCAAAAGTAGGCTGTTCTGTGTGGTCTTCCCCTGTTGACCGCTGTGGTTACACACAACTGCAGCACTTCGTCGTGTAACAATGAGAGGCTCTGCTTGTTTACCGCTTTCCGTCTTCAGACAACTTTGACGTGCAGAGAATGCAAAGACATTTTATGGACTAAAGCAATGAAGTGTCCAAAAGTGGCCTTGTTACGTGTAAACTTCTAGCAGACAAAGCTATTTAAATTTTAAGAGTGTCAAATTTACAAGGTCACAGTTTCGAGTGAGCATAGACGTCAGGTTTCATGCCATTTCAAAAGAACATTGTGAATTTATAGGTTACGCTAACATGTAACATTACATTCCTAATTATGACAAGTTACGAAACGCAAGTGTTCACTTTGTTCTGCCTCTAGATTATCAGTTCGTGAATGATAATATATTTAATATTAAAATATATATTAAAAATTACAGTCATTCACAATTATAATAATAAAATAATATTAAAAGGTTTAAAAATATTTAATGCTCTCTATAAGTCCCTTTTGCCTAATTCACTATAAAAACGTATTATTTAAGCTAAAAGTGATCTGTGTATAAGATGTTATACCGAATAGGTGTATCTGTGCAATTCTTAGCTGGAAATCATACTGGTCTACATGTTTTGTTTTGTTTTTTTCAAAAATGAAAACATGGAAAGATTTTTGCTTCAAGAATAATAACAATAAAAATTCTGGGTCGGAGGTATAATGAATGTAGGGCGAGAGGGTAGTTGTGCTGGCGGGATATTTTCCCTTCAAAGTTCCCCCTCGAACCTCACATGTCTCCCACGCTGTGTTCTTCCTGCATTGTGTTCTTGCCGAATGATTTATGATCTAAACAAAGACAGAAAAAGAGGAAAATATCTTTCTGAGTGGCGAAAATAAGAGCTCTGGGTATCTGGAGACCTCCCTTGACGTTTCTTTTGGTCACCGCTTTTATTCTTTTATCTTCGGATTATTTCCCTTTATCATCTTCATTCTCTCGCCTTCTTTCCCATCATGCAACTTAGCTGCATATTCATATCTCTGCTTTCTGCTTCATTGTTTTGATGGTAGATAGCGCAAATAGTATTTATGAAAGTGACATAATTAGAGTTGTAAGAAAGAATATTTAACATTGTAATCATTTATGCCTCAGTGAAGAAAGGTAATGAAAAATATTATTTGTTTCGTATATTAAATCTTTTAATATTGTGAAAAGAATAGCTTCCATACTACAAATGTCATTAGTTGCCATTTGCTCTAGATACTTTATTTATGTGTTATTGCTTATCTGCTCATTTAGTCACTGTGTTATAAAAATGGTTTGTTTAAGGACAGGGAACAGAATTTTTTATAGTTAAGTATTAATATACTATTTTTTATTTTAAATTCTGGTTATATCTTCTTTAATGTATATTTTATTTTATTTATTTAGTATTCTGTCTGACGACAGGTCCATATGAACAGGATCCTTCCATCCTTTTCTCGGACTGGGACCTGTTCATATACGTTCTTGGCAGATGATCCAGAAGTGGTTTGCCATTGCCTTCTTCTGTGTATGAATGGAGTAGTTGTTGGGATGCCACGAAGAAACCGGGGAAGCCCCCCTAGGAAACCTCCGTGTTGCCTAGACAACGAAAATTAATTTATGCCCGTGCTTGAACACCACGTCATGGGCTCGCATGGAGACGTGGATGTGTAACTCTACGCATTCGTAACCTCTGCGCTAGACCGTCATATATGTCGTGCCATATCACAGGCGTTTTCTCACCGACTTCTCACCACGGAGTCCAGGGTTTGTTCCTGTGTCCCCGAGGAATTTGTGGTGGACAGACTGACACTAGAACAGATTTGTCTCCGTGTCCTTTGGTTTTCCTCCGTCAATTTTGCTCCTTATTCACACATTTATCATCTGTAGGATGGATAATGTGGTCGTTAGTGGCCGTAAGAAACAGATCGTTATGTAGGAGTTGTAATAGAAGTGGACATTTGGTTCGCTTTGTTAATAAATTACATGAAATTAAATCGCCACTAAGGTATATTAATTTACATAATTTATTAAGTAACAAATACGTAGCGATTTATAAAGATATTATAAATCCACTATGTTTAGTGGCACGTAACTGCTGTCTAATCACACTGTCTACAGGTCCCACAAATTTATTAATCGCGATCTTATTTGCGTGACTGTTTTATTAAAATTTCCAACAGTTTGTGCCCGAGAATTCTTTTCCCCCTTCATGTCTGACTTCTGCTCTAGAAAGCAAAAGTTTAACCACAGTTTGCCTACAATTCTTAGTTCAATAAAGTGTCCAGAACATACGAATGCAATGACAGCAATTAGAATGCCAGTGTTTGAAGCAAGTTTACAAGGGGATATTATTTGTAGATGTTGATCACTGAAACGAAAGTGAAAATAGAATATTAAAACAGATCTGTTTGCGTGAGGGTATAGACTTATACTGGATTCAGCTGGCTCAGAATACAGTCCAATGGCAAACCATAGAGAAAAGATGATTAACCTGTTGATTCCATAAGAGGCTCGTAATTTCTTGGCGAACGAAAAGACAAAGGCCTATCTCTTCCGGAGTATGAACCTCGTGTACCAGCGTGTTTGCAGATGCTTTAGTACGATTTACTATTCCAGACGATCACGTGTTTCTCAGTAAGTATGTGGTCTTGGTCAGACTCTCAATACTGTCTGCGCTGATCGAGTTCGTTCATTGAGACGGTCTATTTTATTCAAAGCAGAGATCCATGTCTCCCTGGTGTTCTGATTTCCGACCTTTCGACTTTGT